GCCCAAAGAAACATAGGTCCCATGGTTTCCCTTATTTGCAATTACTAGTATATGTCTGAGACAAGCAGAAAAGGTCAGATAAGTTGATGTTAGGGAAATGAACGCTAAGATATGTATCCAAATGTTTTTTTTCTTTCATGCGATTGTTTTCTAACACATTTATAAGATTATTTCTTTGTTGCTTTGTATGTCCCTCCCCCACACTATAACCCCTGCTTTCACTGTATTTGATGTTGGTATAATTTCTGGAGGGGAAGGGAAAAAACAAATCATTTAAATAGGGATACAGGTGGAGCCATTGCAACAATGAGATGTACAAGTTGTATGTCAAAAACGAACTTTACAACTTTGGGGAGGGGAGGATGGGATGGGAAGGGGAAACAAAGGAGGAGGCTACAATGCTTGATAAGTACATTTCTTATCAAGAAATGTACTCATTATCTTGTCCATGTAATTGTAACCCCTCTGTACAGTATTTTCACAATAAAAAAAAAGAATTCAAATGCACTCTGTACTGCAAAATCTCTCTGCATTTCATTTCATTAAGTTCACGATCATGTGGCTGCACATGGGTTTCTCCGTGGGTCTCCATAGGACTCCCTAGTCTCTGGCATTTGTGAATTGGCATGGTCTGTTCCAAGCTTGGAGCCCAGACGTTCACATGTCCGTGGCTGGAACTCCAGTGTTAACCTGCACAGAGCAGCTCCTCCCCGCCGAACGCTCCCCTCTGGGACCTGCCCATAAAGCCTCAGCTTCCCTCCTCCGCAAGCCAAAATTTCCTGAAATAAATGCTGATCTGCCCTAAAAATGCAGAAATAAAGCAGCAGGGTTTTATTTTTAAGTAAAAAGTGATTTTTTTTCTTGCTAATATAACCTGCTCTTAATAAAATTGTTAGTCTGTGCAAAAGTTCTAAGCCCAGAACTTCCCTCTCCAGACGTGAGGGAGATGGGAGTGGCTTAGGAAGCTAGGGCCATGGCCCTCCTCCAAAGGCCTGGCGAGAGGAGGCATCCAGACAGGGCCCAGGCTCTGCACACGCTTTCTTTAATACTCTGAGGCTTCATTGGAAGAACAGGAACAGTTTCCACAGTTAGACCACCACACCACAGGCTTTCCTGGGCTCTGAAGAGCTGATCATTGGAGGAAACTCATGCAGGACAGAAACGCCCTACTCCAGAGGGCTGCAAGGTAAAAGGATGCTCAGCTTAGCTTGGCTGTGGAGAAAAGGCTCCTCCAGTGCCTGTGGCCACTCTTAAACAATCACCCAGTAAATGTGCACGCGTTTCCTGCTGAGCCATGGCCCCGAGAAAACCAATCCCAGCACCTCCCAGCTGCAATGCTGGAGTGAATGCATGCTGGCCACAGCTTCCTGACCACCCAGAACACATAAAACCTGCCTTCCAAGGAGAAAAAGAAAAACCAGCCAAGAGCGTGGGAGTCACAGCTACTGCACATCACATTTCAAAGAGCTAAGTGAGGCAGGGAGCACTTGGGAACCGGTCACAGGGAAAAAGAAAAAGAGAAAGAAAAAATCCCAAGCACAGCCCCGCCAGACCTGACGGTACCAGAACAATAAATGCACATAAATACACTGACAGGAGCAAAGAAGCGTATTTTGAATAGATAGGTTGAAAAGTAGCTAAATATAATACTGCATCAAATAAAGTCACACTGTAAGAACTGGGTAAGACTTCATAATATGGAAATTAGGTAATAACCATTAGACAGAGAGCTGGAAATCAGACTCAATCGAGGAACAAGAGAAGAGTTTATAATTTGCATGGCTCCATTTTATGCTGTCACTCAGTCGTTCCCCAAAGCCAGTGCATCCTGTAACGACTGCTTTGACAACTCGCTGCTGCTTGGGGGGAGGGGGGAGCAAGGACGACACGCTCAGAACCACAAGTGCGCGCAAGGGCACACACAGGGTCATGCTCCACGGCCACACTTTAAACGAAGTACGTCTTCTGTATACGCAGCAAAATGCTGTGGCAGCCTCACGGGGGACTCATCCGAGAGGAGCAGGCCTCGGCCAGCTCACCGCTGACCGGCTGTGTCGCAGATACACTCCGGGTTCTGCTTGCTATCACTTCGTTAATGCTCAGTGCATTAATTTAACAAACTATCAGGAGACTATGCCCGGAACGGGCAGGCATTATCTCTCAACTTTCATTTAATTAAACTCTGCTATTGCAAGATGACAGTCAGCACATCGCGGGGGAATTATTTTAAGGACGGAGGTAAAAAGTATTTCAAGGCCCCCACTTAAAAATGAAAGCATAATCTAAAATTGCCCGAGCACATGCTATAATTTTTCTATAATATTGAAGATGTTATTTCCAGACTTGGTAATTAATTGGATTCCATGGAGAAATTATTCTAACCTCCTTGATAGCAAAATGAGGTACACAGGCAGGGAGAAAGCCAAAGGACAGCCATAAACAACCACTGTCACCCGGGCAAGACAGTCCCTTGCTCACCCAAGAGTGAGGGCTGCCTGCTACGAGCAAGTTCATTATCCTCCTGTCAGCCCCTGCCTGAATCTTGGCTAGAGCAGAAGTAGGGTGGGCACAGCCCCTGATCTGTGGCCGCTTAGGAGGGGTCGAGGCCACAGAGCCAAGTGGCCCAGGCCACCGGCTGGGTAAAAGCAAGGACTGTGGCTCGGAGGGCTAGGCTACTTCCCTGCCTCCCAGCCCTGGCCCTGGCCTCGGGAGGGGCTGCCCGGGATGCAGGCGTACCATCAATCCGGCTCACGAGCTCCTCCAACATCTTCACTTTCAGTTGAATGCCAGGTTGAGCAAAGGTGTAGTTGTCCTACGGGGAAAAATATGACAATGTGTATTATACGCATATAAAATAAAACACGTATCGCACAGGAGCAAAGAGGCAAAGAAATAACTTTATAAATAGTAATTTTATAACCCAACAACCTCACAAACTAGATTTCCCCTTGAGAACCCCATGAGGGGCCACGACCCCACCGCCATACAGCCCCACGGGGTGTCACTTGAGAAGCAAGCCCACATTTCCGACATCAGAAGTGCTCGTATCGCCTGAACACTTAATGGCACATTTCTAGATGTAAACAGAGGACAGTTACAGGTAAATGAAGGAAACTCACAGGGCAGCGCCTGGAGCAGACTGGGCAGAGCCATCTGCCCCAAGGACTACCTGCGAGGCACCTGGACAGCCAGCATCCGGCCCCCAAGGGAGGCAGGGCAGAGGGTAAACGGGTCCCATGCTAGCAGTGCCAGCTCATTAAGAACCCAACCCCTGAGGACAGTCGTGAGGAAGAAGGCGCATGTGAGACTGAGATTGGAGGAGTGAGGCTCACACGCTATGAGACGGGAGGCCTGCAGCCTGGAGCGAGGTCTGCAGTGGGAACCCAGCCCTATTACATAGAAGCTGAGTGGCCCAGCAATGGGATAAGCTCTCTATGAGATGAGAATGACACCCCCGCCCTCCAGAAGTGCTGGCAGCTTCAAGGAGGTAAAAGAGGCCCCCGGGAGGGACCCCCTTGTACAGCAGGGGATCAGAAAACCGCAGCTCTGCTCCTGCACTGTCACCGCATGCCAGGCCTGGGGAGCAGGAGAGAGGCTGGCCCCCACCTCGCCCCAGGGCAGGGGGGGGTTCTCAATTACAGCAAGCAGGATCTGTAGCCTGGTGGACATGAGCAGCAGGTGTGTACAGAGTCCCAGGCTGAGGGAGGCGCTGTGTTCCCGGGACGAGGGGCAGCTGAGCACAGGAAGCACTAGAGCAGCTGCCCACCTAGCATGAAAGAGCCCAGCTTGCCTGCCTGTGCCTGCGCCGCTGCTCCTCAGCCTGCCCACGGTGCTCGCCCCACTCTCCACAACAGGCTTCGGGAAGGAGCACTTTGAGCGGAGCTGCCGCCCTGGCCACACCTGCAGAGCTGGCCGCTCAGCCAGGGGCTCGGGGACCAGGCCAGAGAGCCAGTGAGCCAGCTCCCCACAACACCCTGCCCCCTTGCTGGCCAGCAATGGTGTCCTTCCTATGTGGAAACCTAAGTTGTCTTCCTCACCCAGAGCAGGCCCTGCCTCCAACAAGACTCACAAAGAGTGCTTTCTGCAATCCCCCTTGGACCACATGGCACAC